ATTCAGCCATGCTTAGTGAAGTCACGAAAGAATGGACCAGATTTTTATTAGCAGGTCTCATATTCTTTTTTATTATTTATTCAACATAAGAATTTGCCAACTATTAGCTTACCTATAATGCGCCCAAGTAAACTAACCAATCAAGGTAACCTTAAGGTATCATATATAATTTAAAATCTAAGAATTTGTCTAAAACAAATACCACTTTTAAGAGGGTTTAAAGTAAAGCCCAGACTGATAGCGTTGTAAATTTTCCTATACACATTATTACAAAGCACAGGATGTTAGAGGTTAAGGTGTGCAATAATAATGAACTTAGAAATAATTTAGATTTAGGGATCACTTTGCCTCAGCTATTCAAAAATAAGTTGTTCACAGGTATAGCAATATATAGCCTGTATGAAAATTCGTCTACAGCAATATAAGAATGGCTTAGGCATAAAATAAATTGTGGATGAGGTTGAGAACTCAGAGACGCTTATTTGAAAAAAAAGAACTAAGCTATTATAACTATAGGAAGGTATATGTGAAAAGTAAACTCTATGTATATAAAAAATGAAACTGATAAATAGAAACGACTAAGTTTGTGATAGGATATAGAATACTTAAGGTCTAAATGCGTAAATTAAGAGAGTAAAATGAGGGTAAATATTATACCAAGAGACAATCGGGATAATCAATCGCAGAATACAAAAATCTAATCAGAACATATTCTGTCCCACCGTTGCAAGGGTTTCCAATGGCGCTAGAAGAACAGTCACGTATTCAGAACCACCAATTAGAGAAACAAGAGTGCCCAGTTGTTCTGCCAATTCCAGTAGAACTTCTTCTTCATCATAGATGGTTTCCGTGAGAAATGGAATCAATTGCTTCCTAGTTTTTTCAGGACCCAAAGCAATCGCAATTGTAGATAGCTTTCTTATACTATTAAGGCGCAATTGTACATCCTCATTGCGTAGTTCCTCGATTAATACAGCAATTGGGTAAAATTCTTCTTGAGATTCATGGGTCATGTTGATATCTGTGCAAACACGAATTGCTGTATAAAATAAAACAATTGAGAAAAATATGGCCAAATAAAACATTCACAGATGTAAAGTAAAGGAAAATATTGATACATCAGCAGAACGGATAGTAAGAATAAAGACGGTTTAAAAATAATTTATGTAAAGCGAAAGTAATAAAAAAGGATTCTGTACGTTAGCGTGCGAAGAATACCACCATAAAAATATGAAATAAAGCAACTGTTACATAAATTCAGCAAAAAATAATGACGAAAAATAGGAAATTATCAACCTGGTCAGCATAAGAGCTACGTTTGAGCCGCTGACTAATAATAATAGCTAAAACAACGAATTCATAATTCATAATCGTAAAAACAAAAATGCAAATTTTTTAAATACCATTTCCATGTTTTAAGCTATACATATGGAGTTGTTTTAAGTGCTTTGTTTTTAAAAATAAATGCTTTTATGAGACAGCAACAGGAGAAATACTTACTGCCTAGTTGACCTGATTCTGAGCAGAAATATGTGTTAAATAGATTCGTAATTTGAACTCACATTTTCCTGTTACATTCTGCTTTTATTTAGACTTCGGTCAAGGTAAAAGTGGGCAAACTTTTCGTCTATTATGTGATAAGTAGCCTCG